TGGGATTGACCGTCACATTATAACGCCCTCACGGCTGAAAGGGCGAGCATGTTTAGTGTGACGGGGATTCGAACCCGCGACCCTCAGATTGCGAGTCGAGCGCCCTAACCACCTGGCCATGCCGGGCCACATTGTGTTAGTAGAAAAATATCCAAACTCACATGTTGTTAAAACGGCACTTTAAGGTTAAGACAAAGGTTACATAGTATGTCCCATACATGTGCCCCTGGCAGAGCTCCAGACGAGGACATATATGGATTCGTGGCAGCTCTCGTGGGAAGGACATGTATGTACTTTTGGCAGCACTCTAGAGCAGCGTTTCTCAACTTTTATCATACTAGGAACCAGATCGCCGCCTCCTTAAAATTTCGCGGACCACTAAGATGCAAGTACAACTAAAAACCCATTACTATTTACATATAAATATTATGTCAATTTTTGCTTGTTTACTTGTAATTGTACAGACCGGTACCGTTCCATAGATTGATGGTTGAGAAACACTGCTGTAAGGGAGGATATGCATGTGCCCGTTGCAGTGTCTTAGCGGAGGACATGTATGTGCCAAGGGCAGAGGAAGATTAACCACAACTTTGAGATGTATTTAAATATGATAAAAATAACACATTGACGAAAGCGTCAAATGGAAACCTTCTTGCAGTAAGTTAGGCGTGATTAACGATTGACTTAAATCAACTTTAGACTAGTATTACGTCACATTTCTGATGTACAATCCGTATATGGTAAGTAACTTTACAATATTTTGAAACTGAACAAATATACAGTAACAATTATTCTAGTCATATAACTAACTCTGTTAGACACAGATGCCAGAAGACGGCCATTTCTGAGGTTCCAAGATAAGGCCGTGAATAGTACATTGTTTCGACTTTGAAACATAATTAGTAAAATAATAAAAAAACAACCACCGTGCCTTCACTTTCCTTTATGGAATTCAACTTATTGTTTTAATTTCTTTTAAAGAAAAAAGACGCTTTTGTCTATATGATTGTGAAATTTCATTAAATTTGGAGAGGGAAATGCAGGGAAAAAGAAGAGGATATAGGCCAGGTATGCTGTGAAGTGTTAAAAAACAGTCGCGTAGTATACAGGTGAATAACCCGTGAAATAATATAGACATGTGGTATTCTCAAATTCGTTTATTTTCCCTAAGAGTAATCGTGTAGGATCTGCAAGATAACAGGAGGTTCGACAGGAAATCTTTTCGTAAATAAATTTCAATTCTCTGACTTTAGCAAAGAAAGAGACACAATGCAAAACAGAGTGAAGCAATCTTTATTTAATACTAAACACAATAAAAATTAATACTTTACTCTTTTTAAAGCATCATGGTAATTTTTAACAATTTTATGAGAACTTTAGAGTTAAATATAGAGAGTAGAAAACAGCCTAATAAGTGTTAGTTAAATTGTAACGTGCACAATATGCTAGCTTAAATAAATAAAGTACTGGTATTAAATATATTTATCAAAAGCCTTGGAGTAGTTGTTTTCTTCCTAGTGTAAAGCTATGTGCGCTATGTCCAATTTTGGACTAACCAAAATTTGGATTTCTTTTTTTCGGCAAATTACTGTAACTTTCCATTTAGAAGTTCGTTCAGACCTTCATCGATTTGTTAAATTTTAAAAGAAATGATCAAGAATGAGTGATTAGTCACTATAAATGGTCTTTCGAAATGCGTCGCAGTTTATTACATCATCTCGAAGCGTTTAGCCTAAAGTTTCTTCGTAATGTCTGTTATAATTTATGTTATGGCTATTATCATTTCAAATCCTGACCAGTATTTTTAGCGAAAGGTCGATACACGATTTTTTCTAATTCCCATATCCAGTGAATGCATTCATAGCACAATATAGCGAAATTTAATGAAATAGATAAATATATATAAAATACAGTAAACAATTTCATTTCAAGAATAATAAAAAGTTAAATTCTTCTTCAAATGACCTTGGCTCACCAGGAAGCTTGATGTCTTATAACGCTCAAATTCGGGGTTTGATTCCAACTGTGAGCGCAACACAGATAGTCTCTTGTGCAGTTTGGTCGTTAATAGTAAAGGTGATACGATTGTATCGTCGGATACGATACGATTTATGTATCTTCACGAAATCTGACAAGCTTTCAGTAAACATTATAAGTATTTTGTTACAGAAACATTCAG